TTTCTGCCTTCTCTGGCTTTTACTGAACATTTTATGTAATTCTACTTTCTCTCTTCTCAACATATAAATTATACTTCTTTTTAAAAATTTTTGCGTTTGAAATGGAATTTATCCCTGGGATACAAGGATGGTTCAGCATACTCAAATCAATCAGCAGAAGGATATAATACATCATATGAACAGAATGAAAGACAAAAGCCATATGATCATTTCAATTGATGCTGAAAAAATATTTGATAAAATTCAACATCTCTTCATAATAAAAACCCTCAAAGGTATAGAAGAAACATATCTCAACATAATAAAAGCCATAGACCACAGACCTACAGCTAGTATCTTCTGAATGAGGAAAAACTGAAAGCCTTTTAGAAGACCTGGACTATGACAAAGATGTCCATTTTCACCACTGTTACTCAGCCTAGTACTGGAAGTCCTAGCTAGAGCAATCAGATAAGAGAAGGAAATAAAGAGCATCCAATTTGGAAAAGGAAGAAGTCAAATTCTCTTTCTTTGCAAATGATATGATCTTATATTTGGAAAAACCTAGGGACTATTAGAACTGATAAATACAGTGAAGTTGCAGGATACAAAATGAACATACAAAAATCAATAGCATTTCTGTATGCCAACACTGAAGAATCTGAAAAAGACATTTAAAAAGTAATCCCATACTTTACAATAGCCACAAGTAAAATTAAATACCTAAGAATTAACTGAAGAAATGAAAGATCTCTATAAAGAAAACTATAAAACATTGATGAAAGAAATTGAAGAGGACACCAAAAATGGAAAGCTATTTCCATGTTCATGGATTGGAAAAATCAATATTGGTAAAATGTCTATACTACCCAAAGCAATCTAGAGATTCTGTGCAATTCCTATCAAAATACCAATGGCATTCTTCCCAGAAATAGAAAAAACAATTTTAAAATGTATATGGAATCACAAAAGAACCATAGTTGAAAAATATCCTAAGCAAAACCAAACAAAACTGGAGGAGTCACATGACCTAACTTCAAATTATACTGCAGAGATATAATAACCAAAATGTCATGGTGCTTGGATAAAAACAGACATGCAAAGTAACAGAATAGAGAACCTAGAAACAAATCTGTACACTTACAGTGAACTCAGTTTTGACAGAGGTGCCAAGAACATACACTGAGGAAAAAGCAATCTCTTCAATAAATGGTCCTAGGAAAACTGGATATCCATATGCAGGAGAATGAAACTAGACCTCTATCTCTTACCATATACAAAAATCAAATTAAAATGTATTAAAGACTTAAATCTAAGGCCTCAAACTCTGAAACTACTACAAGGAAACATTAGCAAAACTCTCCAGGACATTGGTCTGGGCAAAGATTTCTTGAGTAATATTTTACAAGCATAGGCAATTGAAGCAAAAATGAACAAATGGGATCACATCAAGTTAAAAAGCTTCTCCTCAACAAAGGAAACAGTTAACATGAAGAGTCAACCGAAGAATGGGAGAAAATATTTGCAAACTCTCCATCTGACAAGGGATTAATAACCAGAATATTTAAGGAGCTCACACAACTATACAGGAAAAAAATCTAATAATATAATTTAAAAGTAGGCAAAAGATTTAAATAGACATTTCTCAAAAGAAGACATACAAATAGCAAACAGACCCATGAAAAGGTGCTCAACATCACTGATCATCAGAGAAATACCAATCAAAATTATAATGAGATCACCTCTCCTCAGTTAAAATGGCTTATATCCAAAAGACAGGCCAGAATGTGGAGAAAAGGGAACCTCATACACTGTTGGTGGGAATGTAGATTAGTATAACCATCATGGAGAACAGTTTGGAGGTTCCTCAAAAAAATAAAAATACAGCTACCATATAGTCCGGCAGTCCCACTGCTGGGTAAATACCCAAAAGAAAGAAAATCAGTATATCCAAGAGATACCTGCATTCCCATGTTTGTTGAAGCACTGTTCACAATAGACAAAATTTAGAAGTAACCTAAGTGTCCATCAACAGATGAATGGATAAAGAAAATGTCGTGCTTATATACAATGGAGTACTATCATAAAGTCTGGCAAGGTGGTGCATGCCTGTAATCCCAGCTACTCAGGAGGCTGAGGCGGGAGAAACGTTTGAACCCGAGGTTGCAGTGAGCTGAGATTGTGCCACTGCACTCCAGCCTGGGCAGAAGAGTGAGACCCTGTCTCAGGTGTGGATGGGACAAGTTTGTAGATAGATAGATATATAGATAGAGATTTTTAAATTAAACTTCCATAGTCTTAAAAATCATTTTTGACAGTTTCATTAAGCCTGACAGCCACTACGAATAACTGCTTTTTAACTTTGTTTTACTGAAGTCTTTTCTTAGTTTTATTACGTTGCTTGTTTTCTGATTTAATGGTTATGTTTTTTGGTTTTTTGGAGGGTATCCTTAAGTAATTCTTTGAGAATGTTTTGAGTCCTTGGATATCTGAAAAGATCTTTGTTTAATTATTTTTAAATTTTATTTTAGAGATGGGGTTTCAATATTATTGCCCAGACTGGAGTACACTCACTATTCACAGGTACTTCATAGCACACTATAGCCTTTAAATCCTCGCCTCAAGTAATCCTCCCACCTCAGCCTCCTAAGTAGCTGGGACTACCATGCATGCTACTACACCTGGCAAATGGCTTTTTGGTTTCACTTCAGTAAATATAATCTTTTTACTTGGGAACATTGACCATATGGCTCCATTATTTTTTTCCATCTAATGTTATATGTAAGAATTCTGATGCTAATCCCAATTCTTGTTACTTTGCAGTTCTGTACTACTTCTCTTTGATAGAAGATTATACTTCTTAAATCCTTTGGAAAACGTTCTATTTTAGTCTTTTTTCATTTATCCTCCTTCACATCTATTAGATCCTTTCTGTCTAAAGATTTTCATCTTTTAAAACGGGAATTTTCCTTCTTTGTGGATTTTTGTTTTTGTTTTTGTTTGAAATGGAGTCTCACTCTATTCCCCAGGCAAAAGTTCGGTAGCATGATCTCGATTCACTGAAACCTCCACCTCTGGGTTCAAGCAGTTCTCCTGCCTCAGCCTCCCAAGTAGCTGGGATTACAGGCATGTGTCACCATACCTGGCTAACTTTTTTATTTTTAGTAGAGATGAGGTTTTGCCTTGTTGGCCAGCCTGGTCTCAAACTCCTGATCTCAAGTGATCCACCCACCTCACAGCGTGAGCCACCATGCCCAGCCTATAGATTTTTTAAATTGTTACATGTCTTCTTCATTTCATTGGGATTTAAAGTAGAAAAATAATTATGTATATTTAGCCAGCCATTTGAAACCAGTTCTGTTGATCAGTAAGAGCACAGGAGTAGGTAATCTTTTATATCATCACATTAAAGCCACGAAGAAAAATAAAATGGAGTGTTAAGAAAAAAAAAAGAGTAGCCATTGAGTTAGGGTTTTTTTTTCTAAGAGGCTCTACTATATAGTGTTCTAAATAGATTTTTTTTTTATTTAGCAAACACTGTAAATACGGAAGAGAAAACATAGGAAAAAAGAGGAAGAGAGGTTTGCAGACAGATTTACAGGGAAAAAACACTGAGACACTTTAATTTGCATAGGATGATAAAAAGATGTATTTATTAACTATTTGCATTTGTGACAAAAAATCAAAATATGGATAATACAATTGTTAGGACCAGTACTCTTGGAGTTAAAAAATAGTGAACAAAATTTTCATCCATCTTATCATTTATGTCGAATGTGCTACATAGGTATCCATAAAGGTACCTAGAAGTTCATGCTAAGTGAATCCTACAAAAAAGATCCTTAGATTCCAGAGAATGTCTCGTAAGTGCCAAAGAGGATAGGTGCACATTCTAAAGTAATACAAGAGAGTGCAAGAGGATGGGACAGGAGGATTCAGATGACATTTCAAAGGACTTAACCCATTTATGCAGGAGGTTGCAATATTTTGAATTGCAAAATGAGACCCTGGTGATGACCTTGGACAGTAGGATATAAGTAAGTCCCACATGCTTAGTGTTTCAATAAAGGAACACAAGGCATAAATGAGTTAAACTGTCTCTTAAAGAATGGGTACAATTGGATGAGTACCTATTCAGGAGAATGGAACAGAAATAGAGGCAACACAGCATACTTATTAAAAATTACTCTAGTGACAGATTGCTGATTTCAAATTTTGACCATGTCACTTATTTGCTGTATCACTTTGGTTTATTTTTTACTTATTTTTTTTTAATGTGTTCTAGATGAACTAATGCTGTTTCACTCTGGAAAAATGACTTCTCTGTTCCTCAGTTTTTGTTGTGTTTTTACTAAAATGAGAATAATAAAACCTACCTTTTAGAATTGTTATAAGGAATAAATGAGTCCACATAAAGCATTTAAGAAAATTTATGGCATCAACTATAATTGTTAGTTGCCATCGTTATCATCATCATCTTTCTAGAAGGAAATTTTGGAATTATAAATGAACAGATTGTATTCATTGGCTAGTAAATGAACTGGCCTACTTTGAATGGGAAGTAGTAGAAGAATGTGTCGAAGTCAGTTGGAGTCTACACCATGGTGGTCTTGAGTTCCAGGCTAAGACATAGTTAATTATTATTCTTTTTTTGAAGAGGAAACAGTTATATACAATGTCCTAAATTGCCTAAGTTTTAAGCCCAGCATTGGAATTGTCCTCTGTGTTTCTGTCCATTCTACAGGGATTCTGAATGAAAGCACTATTTTAGGAAGATTTATTTCAGTAATATCCATAAGGCCTATATTTAGGTGATGGTGAGAGAAATGGGTATGGATGGGAAAGTTCCAAAAATGAATGGAATTGAACTAGATGATCTTTTGGTTCTTTTCTAGCCCAGACATCACTGTTGACTTTCTTACCTCTCTAGGTTAGTAAATCTTTATGTCATATGATCTACGATACATAATTTATTTCTAGAATTTGTAATGTATCTTTTTCTCATGTATGCTTTTCTATAGGTTTTAGATGGAGCAGGATTAGATGTTGATTTCTATCTTGCCTCTCCAGAAGGCAAAACTTTAGTTTTTGAACAAAGAAAATCAGATGGCGTTCACACGTAAGTAATCTCTTTTAGTTGAGTTTCATTGCTGAATAATACCAGTGGGCTATCTGGAGGGGATGGAAAGTTAGCATATTTGATACTAATTATCAGTATTAGATAATTCCATATGATTTTAAATAGTTCTTTATAGTGGGCCATCTGATAAACGAAAAAGTCTTCCATTAACCTTTCTATTTTTGTTAAAGCATTTTCTTTTGATCCTGGCTAAATTTTTTCTGTGCTTTGGTTAGTAAATTAATATTCCCATGGTATTGCATGCAGTCTATTGTGGCATTTTAAACCTGCATTCTGGCCAGCACAGGCTTTCTATTTTAACTTAAAGCTACTGTTCCAGATATGTGACTTAAAGTTTCTTAAGCTGCTGGCTATACCATTGTTGTCTAGTATATCTTTGTGTGTATGTAAATTTTTTTTTTTACTCAGACCTCATTCATTTTAGATAATTAGAAGGCCTGAAAGTAAAAGATCTGAACATAGGAAACTATATAAAAAGAAAAGACTTATTATAACTCTTTGAGTTCAGAGTTCAGCAAAAGACCATATATTCTTCTTCTGACACCTCACTTCCCTCTTTTCATATCTCACCAGTATGTTCCCAGTTCCATTCTATTCTCTTACTATAACATTTTCTTAAGTCAGTATTGTTATTGCGTTAAAACTAAACTATGAGTCTGTAGGAAGAAGAACAAATATGGAGTATCTAGTATCTGCTATAAACAATGGTTGACATGTTATATACTTCTAAATTAACTATAGAGAGAGTCTTTGATTCAAGACTCCCATTTTATAGATAAGGAAGCTCAGAGAAGTCAAATAAGTCTGCCGGGATACACATACTGAGTGGAGACAAGATGGACCAAAAACTCTTGCTTTTTACCATATGCTTAGGACATCCCTGGCACATAGCACTATTGTAAGAACTAGCTATCATTGAAATCGTCTTTGTTAACCCAAGTGCCTAATACATAATTGACACTCGGTAAACGCTGAATACATGTATGAATGGATGAGAGGAAAAAAAGTGTCTCAACAGTAATTTATTTTTATTTTTATTTTTTAATCCAGTTTCTCAACAGTAATTTTTTAAGATATTCATTTAAAATGCATTTTTACAGCTGGGTGCAGTGGCTTATGCCTGTAATCCCAGCACTTTGGGAGGCCAAGGTGAATGGATAACCTGAGGTCAGGAGTTTGAGTCCAGCCTGGCCAACATGGCAAAACCCTGTCTCTACTAAAAGTACAAAAATAAGCTAGGCATGGTGGCACGTGCCTATAATCCCAGCTACTAGGGTGGCTAGGCAGGAGGATAGCTTGAATCTGGGAGATAGAGGTTGCAGTGAGCCAAGATAATGCCACTGCAGTCCAGCCTGGGCAACAGAGCAAGACTCTGTCTCAAAAAAAAAAGGCATTTTTAAATGGCATTTTACCTATGCAGAGCTCAGGAAAATATTTGCATAAACAATTACTAAGTAAAATAGAAATATTAATTTTAAAAGTTTATATTGATATACTTGGAATTAACTATGTATTCTCTTTGATATGTGTATAAGAACTAAAAATGAGCCAGGTGCGGTGGCTCACGCCTGTAATCCCAGCACTCTGACCAAGGTGATCAGATCACGAGTTCAAGAGAATGAGACCATCCTGGCCAACATGGTAAAACCCCATATCTACTAAGAATACAAAAATTAGCTGGGCACACGCCTGTAGTTTTAGCTGCTTGGGAGGCGAAAGCAGGAGAATTGCTTGAACCTGGGAGGCGGAGGTTGCAGTAAGTCGAGATCACACCACTGCATTCCAGCCTGGTGAGAGAGCGATACTCAGTCTCAAAAAAAAAAAAAAGAACTAAAACTATACTTCATCTTTAAGTTTCAGAATTTTTTAAATGTTCAAAATTTCTGTTAATCTTTATTTCTCCTCAGTTATTCGCTCCCTTTTTGAGTTAATAAAATTCACTATTAGAAAAGTAAGTATCTTACTGCTTCCTTGTGTAGAATTACCTCTCATTAAATAATGGGGAGAAAAGAATTGAGTTTCTAATAGTTCACATTTATTGCATTCTTTTTCCAGGACATTGTTCTAAGCACTTTCATATACTAATGTTTTTTATTCTTCACCACAGTCCTATGAGGTAAATATTATTTTACTGATGGGGAGACTGAGGCATAGAACAATTAAGTTCCTGAAGGTTACACAGCTAGTGAACAGCAAAGCCAGGATCTATATTCAGGCAGTCCAACTCACTCTTAATCATCACATCAGATTTACAAATCTATTTTTAAAAAATCAGATTTAAAGAAAGCTTTTTTTTTTTTTTTGAGACGGAGTTTCACTCTTGTTCCCCAGGCTGGAGTGCAATGGCATGATCTCGGCTCACCACAACCTCCGCCTCCTGGGTTCAGGCAATTCTCCTGCCTCAGCTTCCTGAGTAGCTGGGATTACAGGCACGCACCACCATGCCCAGCTAAGTTTTTTGTATTTTTTTAGTAGAGATGGGGTTTCACCATGTTGACCAGGATGGTCTCAATCTTTTGACCTCATGATCCACCCGCCTCAGCCTCCCAAAGTGCTGGGATTACAGACATGAGCCACTGTGCCCGGCTAAAGAAAGCTTTTATCTTTAGCTGTATTAATTTTGTAAGAGCAGCAAAAATTTTAGTATGTCATTGGCTTTTCTTAAGTAGTCTTTTTCTTTTAAATGTCATTTCTTTTTTTAAGAGACAAGATCTCACTCTGTTGCCTAGGCCAGAATGCAATGGTGTGACCACAGCTTACTGCAGCCTCAAACTATTGAACTCTCAAGCAAGCCTCCCATCTCAGTCTCCCAAGTAGCTAGGACTACAGGTGTGCACTCAGCTAATTTTTAAATTTTCTGTAGAGACAAGGTCTCACTTTTGTCAGGCTAATCCTGAACCCCTGGCCTATAGTAATCTTCCTGCATTAGACTCCAAAAACTGCTGTGATTATAGGTATGAGCCACTGCACCTGGTCCTACTTTTAACTTTTGCTAATATGGGAAACTAATTTTAACTAGGGTACTGATAATTCAGGTATTATTTTTTCTTCAGCACTTGGCGTAATTAATGATGGGCTGAATTACCCTCATAGAATTAAGTAATAAAATACAAACTAGCTTTATTTCTCAAAAAAAGCATTTAGGATCAAACATAAACATCTACAAGGGAGTCAGTGGGAGTCAATAAGCAAAATCCATAGGAGGCCTGGAAGAAAACATTTAGGACAATCCGTCACTGCTTTTGAAAACAAAACAAAACTCAGTTTAGATTAACCTCAATTGAAGGGTAGGTTGGCAGTCATATTTGCATATGAATTGAACTTACAATAAAATTACTTTTAATGTATAAATATTAAAGTTTATTATGAGTTACGTATATAGGTTTTTAATCCTATCCTTTTCCAAAAATGAGGTCACTAACCATAATTTACTGAGTAAATGCTAAGCATGTCTAAGTTGTACTCGAATGTATATATTTTCAGGTTGCCTCTTTCCCAGTAAATTATAAATTATCTTTCAATACTAAGGAAATTTATGGGTAAGCTGCCCAATTATTATGAACCATGTTTATTTTTGTTTATTGTTTTTGTTTTGTTGGTTTCTCTTTTTTTGAGATAGGATCTTGCTCTGTCGCCCAAGCTGGAATACAGTGGCATGATCATGTCTCATTGCAGCCTCAGCCTTCCAGGCTCAGGCAATCCTCCCGCCTCAGCCTCCCAAGTGGCTGGGACTACAGGTTCCAGCCACCGTGCCCTGCTAATTTTTGTATTTTTTTTGTAGAGACAGGCTTTTGCCATGTTACTCAGGCTGGTCTCAAACTCCTGAGCTCAAGTGATCTACCCATCTTGCCCTCCCAAAATGCTGGAATTACAGGCATGAAGCACCACAGTTGGCCTGTTATTTCTTATTTCTACTGTTAGTTGCTTTTCTTTTCATCGCAAATAGAAGCACAGATAACTAAAAACATGTACTTTTTTTTTAATACAGTGTAGAGACTGAAGTTGGTGATTACATGTTCTGCTTTGACAATACATTCAGCACCATTTCTGAGAAGGTGATTTTCTTTGAATTAATTCTGGATAATATGGGAGAACAAGTACAAGAACAAGAAGATTGGAAGAAATATATTACTGGCACAGATATGTTGGATATGAAACTGGAAGATATCCTGGTCAGTATGGTCTTCTAATAAAATAAAAATTATTAATAACATCCAGAGGCCTTACTATGGTAATAGGCACTGAACTAAGCATTTTATCTGTATTATCCAGGAAAATGTTTCTAATTTTATTTTTGCCATAAAAACTTTGACATCATTTCAAGTATCAGCTTAATTTTACTTTATATTCATATGGCCCTTTTATAGCTTTCAAATCATTTATCTTACCAGGACCCTATTATAAAAATAGCTTTTTTCAGATGTGCAACTTAGACTGCATTTTGGTAAGCCTGTTTTATAAATGTGCAGTTGGAATTTTTTAAATTATAAATAGATTATGCTTTTAATTATATAGTAGGCACATTCAAAAATGAGATGTTTTCTGATTTCACAACTATTTTGTGGTATTAAAACAGGTGTTTTACTGAATACTAAATTGGTCAGACTTAGAAAGAAGAAAATATTATTATAAATATAATGTATTATATAATGGTTAAATACCTAAAGTTTTATCAATTGGGCTTTTAAAAATGAAATCATTTGCCAGGCATGGTAATCCCAACTACTCAGAAGGCTGAGGAGGAGATCATTTGAGCCCAGTGTGAGGCTGCAGTAAACGATGGTCACACCTATAAATAGATACTGCATTCCAGCCTGGGCAATACAGAAAGACCCCCATCTCTAAAAACTTAATCATTTGGCCGGGCATGGTCTCAGGAAAAAACATCATTTCCCTTGGTCGTCTAAGGGCTAAGAAAGAGATAATGTATGTAAAACTCCGGATGCTATGCTACTCAGAATGGTTTCATGTTACCTATTTTCAATTCACAGTAGCTTTGTTCCCTTGTTAAATAACTACTTATAAACTATGTCGGGAGAACTATCACATAACCTTACAGAGAATCTCTAACGTGATATAAATAGTACCTGCCTCTTAATTGAATTGTACAGCCATCTATCTTAAAATTGCATTTGGATAAAAAACATAAAGCATATTCTGAAAAAAAAATTTTTCTTGAGACAGTGTCTCATTCTGTTGTACAGGCTGGAGTACAGTGGCATAATCATGGCTCATTGCAATCTCAACCTCCTAAATTCAAGTGATCCCCCCCACCTCAGCCTCCCAAGTAGCTGGGACCACAGATGGTGCTATCATACCTGTCTTTTTGTAGAGGCAGAGTCTCTGTGTGTTTTCCAGCCTAATCTTGAACTCCTGGGCTCAAGGGATCCTCCTACCCTGGTCTCCCAAAGTTCTAGGATTACAGCATGAGCCACCGCACCCAGCCTCATTTTTTAATTAAGTTAAAATTTCTGAGCATTCTTTAATAATAAAATTATTTTGTCTCCAGGAATCCATCAACAGCATCAAGTCCAGACTCAGCAAAAGTGGTCACATACAAACTCTGCTTAGAGCATTTGAAGCTCGTGATCGAAACATACAAGAAAGCAACTTTGATAGAGTCAATTTCTGGTCTGTTGTTAATTTAGTGGTCATGGTGGTGGTGTCAGCCATTCAAGTTTATATGCTGAAGAGTCTATTTGAAGATAAGAGGAAAAGTAGAACTTAAAAGTCCAAACTAGAATACTTAACATTGAAAAATGAGGCAGAAAAATGCAAAACTGTTACAGTCAAGATCATTAATGGTCTTCTCCAAAATATTTTGAGATATCCTAAGTGTGAAACAGGTATAATTTTAATGTGAAAGTTAAGACTTCACTTTCTGTGCAAGTAATCCTGTTGATCCAGTTTACTTCAGTGTATAACAGGAACATTTGGCAGAATATAAAGCCATATTAATAACTGCATTTTCCTAACGTTGAAAAATTTTGCAAATGTCTTAGGTGATTTAAATAAATGAGTATTGGGCCCAATTGCAACACCAGTCTGTTTTTAACAGGTTCTCTTACCCAGAACTTTTTTTATAAAAGTGGCAGTTACAAATTAACTGTGGCAATTTTAAGTTACAAATCATCTGAGAATTACCTAATTATGGACTGAATAAATCTTTAGACTACAAAAGCCCAACTTTTCTCTATTTACATATGTATCTCTCCTATAATGTAAATAGAATGGCTTTGAAATACAATTAGGTTTTTGTTATTTTTATAACCAAATATATTTCAATGTAACATCAGCAGAAAGTATTAGTCTTTGTACTTAGCTTACATGTCAAAAGCTGACATTTTGACGAGTCTTAAAAATGCAAGTGCAGGGTCGGGGGCGGTGGCTCACGCCTGTAATCCCAGCACTTTGGGAGGCCGAGGCGGGTGAATCACGAGGTCAAGAGATTGAGACCATCCTGGTGAACATGGTGAAACCCCATCTCTACTAAAAATACAAAAAATTAGCTGGGCATGGTGGCACGTGCCTGTAATCCCAGCTACTCGGGAGGCTGAGGCAGGAGAATTGCTTGAACCCAGAAGGCGGAGGTTGCGGTGAGCCGAGATCGCGCCATTGCACTCCGGCCTGGGTAACAAGAGCGAAACTCCGTCTCAAAAAAAAAAAAAAAAAAAAAAAAATGCAAGTGCAAAGTTACACTTACTAAAATTAGGATATGTTTTCTCTTTGAGATGAAGGATATAGTTTAAAAGCTTCCTCCTCCATAGGGACACATTCCATCTAACCCTTAACATAGGATTTTAAAATTAAATGTGAGGTAAAAAAAAAAAAATTATTTTTAATATTATCTGTCAACAGTTAATTATGTTAATTTTAACATGATTGCTGACTTGGATAATACAGTATTACCAGCAGTCGTGAAGGAAATATTGCTAAAATGATCTGGACCTACCATAAATAAATATCTCCTTTTCTGAGTTCTAAGAATTATCAGAGGGCTGGGCAAGGTGGCTCACACCTGTAATCCCAGCACTTTGGGAGGCCGAGAGAAGTAGATCATGAGGTCAGGAGTTCAAGACCAGCCTGACCAACATGGTGAAACCCCGTCTCTATTAAAAATATAAAAATTAGCTGGGCGTGGTGGCACATGCTTGTAATCTCAGCTACTCAGGAGGCTGAGGCAGGGAACACTTGAATCTGGAAGTCAGAGGTTGCAGTGAGCCAAGATCGTGCCACTGCACTCCAGCTTGGGCGACAGCGTGAGGCTCCATCTCAGAAAAAAAAAAAATCATTAGAAACAAGAAAGAATTTAGATAAACTTGAGAATACCTAATCCAAAATAAAATTCACTTAAGTAGAACTATAAATAAATATTTAGAATCTGATTGGCTCATCATGACATCCTAATTATAATATAAATAAAAGGAGATTAATTTCCAGTTAACTGGAAGAAACTATTTGGCTGTGGGTTTTATATTCTACAAGAATTCCGGTTTGAATTGTTTTTTGTAAGTATTCAGGTACATTTTGTGAAATGTAATCCCTACTGTAAGGTTTAGCACTGGGTGTATATATTGTTAACAATTTTTATTATAACTTTTATACAGTGGCCTTTCTGATCACTTTATTTATTGACATTGAAGTAATAATTGGAAACATAGACTCCCAAGTTTTAAATACCTAAATGTGAATAATTCATATATACAACAAAGTCTCTGCCATCTAGCTTATTGAAGTCTATGGGGTCTTAAGTACTAGTAATTTAACTTCACCATGAATGAACTATAATTTTTAAGCTATGCCCATTTATAACATTGTTTATGACTATATTGTGAGTTAGAAACAATCAACTTAAAATTTGGGGTATAGAACCCCTCAACAGGTCAGGAATTTTTGATAAGCAATAATGATAACCAGATAGAGTGATTTTATTTATACACAAAGTAATTCAAAAGGAGATAGATTTCCTTCCTTCTTAGGCTGCTGGGAGAAGAGCACCATAGATTTCCCTGCTCAGAAGCTTTTGAAAAATTAGGTAAGTGCCATATACGATCAATTACCTTAATTGGCCAAGAAAATGCTTCAAGTGTCTAGGGGTAGCCTTTGCAACACTTGCAGAACAAGGGTCAATAAGATCCTTGCCTATGAATAGCCCTCCCTTGCCCTTTCTGTTAAATTTGTAATGAGTAGGAAATTTACAGTACCATAACTAATAAAGCAGGTACACATATAAACTACTGCATCTCTTCTATAAAACTGTGACTAAGAATTCTACCTCTTATGTACAGCTGTTACTGTACTATACTCTCTGACTCCTAACGAATTTGTTACATAATCTTCTACATATATGACTTGTGCCACTGATCTTAAACCTATGATTCAGTAACTCCTTACCATACAAAAATAATAATAGCTTCATTTGGAAGAGAATTTAGAAGTATGAAGGATTATTTTTATACACAAAGTATAAAGACTGAGATATTTAGGAGGCATAACCAGAAAAGCAAAATTTGTAAACAGAGTAAAAATCTGTAATATTCCTAAAGACATATCATTTATCTGCTTCATATGGTTTTTTTAAATATCACTATTCTGTTTCTAAATTAAAGTTATGCTAAATTGAGTAAGCTGCTTATCACTTATCGGCTCATTTTATCTTTGGTTTTTAATATATAAATTTTTTAAATATTACAATATTTAAGGCCCAACCAGTTTCCATAGTGTAGCAGTTACCATATTCGCCTCACACTAAGGCCTAGAGCTTGCTCTGATTTGCATTTGGATGATGAATGTTGTGCTGTTCTTTCATGTGAATGTCAAGACATGAAGGTGTTTGTAATGTTATGGTAAAATGAATCCTTCTTAAACATAATGTCTTAACTGAGCATTTATAATTTCATATCTCATCAAATGAAAATTCTTTATCTGAAATTTTAAAAGAAATTGATTCAGCATTTAAGGATTTTTGGTCTAAAGTATAATAATGCACAGTGTTGTTCAAACTGCTTTATACTTGTGAACAGCCATCCTAAATAAGCAATGTATTGTGAGTACTGAGCTGAATATGTATAATAAAAATTATCGAAGAAAATTACCTGCCAGTCATTTGTAAATGCTGTCTACTCCTTAAAACCTTCTTTCATCTCAATCTTAGTTAATAATGTGCTCTCCTCATTTCAAAACCCCTACACCTTTTGAAACTCTCTACACCTCTTATTACACATCATTCTACTTTCCATTGGAGTTCTGTTTCTATATGTATTTATTCACCTGTTGCCTAAACATGCATTGTTCTTAAAAGGTACAATTTTTGCTCAAATATATGAAAGGAAAGATAATCGGTTCTTAAAGTTTAGAATGCTAAATAACCACCCAGGGAACTTACCCTACTCCTGTAACTCACCCCAGAAATTGATTCTTTAGGTCTGGAATATGTCTCAGGATTCTTAATTTTTAATCAACACAATATGGAATCCTGTCAGTTATTCTTAGATCATTTGCTAGCTAGGTGATCTTGGGAAATCAAAACTCCTTTGAGACTATTTCATTTTCAGAAATATTTTAAGTAACATCTTACAACTTGGTAAAATAGCATATAGGAAAATACAATGCTTGGTGTAGGTTGGTATGCTATTATTTGGTCATTTCCCCCAAGCCATCCAGACAAGCCACTCTTCTACCACAAGCGGGTAGAAATCCTTAGGCACCTTTCTTCTTCTGCACTGCTGTCACTTTTACATGTCTAGGCTTCTGGAAGGCATTTGTCATGACCTGGAGCTATACTACACCTAATGTATATCCAGGGAATGGGCACCGATTAAAGAATCCAGAGCTGGGATGATGTTACATAAGAGAGGGCACATGAAGATGGACTCTGGATCCCTGTATCTGAAAAAGGCAAGAAAATGCAGGGCAGGGAAAATCCTGGAGGCTTTCACTGATGATGAATTAAAAACCTAATAATGTGAGTTTTAAAAACAAAAACCCTCCTGTTTTAGTACTTGGGTTGTTTTTGTTTCTGTTTTAACAAGCTTAGATTTATTATTGTTCCTTTTATAGAAGGTAAGAAATAGGAAAGCAGTAAAATGAACAATGAGAATCTATTATCCAAACTGAGAAAGATGCTAGTCCCCAATCCTGGAAGTGTTAAGTGGCAGTAATAATCAAATGTTGAAAAGGGGATAGTTACTATGGCTTATATCAAATGGGAGGCTGGACTAAAATGGGAGGCTAGACTAAATCTAACCTTTCTACTCTTGATTTCAATTCTAAAAGGACAAGTAATACCATTGCAGAAAAAAAGCAGAAAGAAAAGACGGTTCCAAGTGATAAATTTTAAGAATTGTTTGTTTTGCTAGGATGCAAGAGAAATTGCCTAAGTGGATCACTCACACGTTGCTAGTGAGATGTGAAATAATACAGCCACTGTGGAAAATATTCTTAGCAGTTTCTTATAAAAGTAAACATGCATTTAACATATAACCTGGCATTTGTACTACTTACCAGTTATTCCTGAGAAGTAAAAACTTAACATTCACAAATGTTACATAGCACCTTCATTTATAATAGCCAAAACCTGGAAACAACCTGGATATCCTTCAAGGAGAGAGTGAATGGTTTAGTATGTCTACACCATGGAATACTAAATAGCAATGTGAAGGAACAAACTACTGATACATGTAACAAATTGGATGGACCTCAAGGGAACTATGCTTGGGGGCTGGGGGGTGGGTTACACACTAGATTCTGTTTTTATAACATTTGTAACACAATAATAAAGCTATAGAGATGGGAAACAAGATTCATGGTTGCCAAGTTTTAGAGATGAAGGGAAGGAGAATGTGGCCATAAAGGCTGCCTTGTGGTGGAAAAGTTGTGTAATTTGATTGTGGCGATTACAGAAACAGGCATGTGAAACGTAAGTATAGCTAAAACATATCGTTAGTACATTAGTATATACATATTTCTGAGTGATTATTTTAATTTCACCATGTTGCCAAGGCTGCTCTTGAACTCCTAAGCTCAAGTGATTTCCCCACCTAAGCTTCCAAAAGTGCTGGGATTACAGGCATGAACCACCATGTCCGGCCTGTTTTTTCTTATGCAAACATACTTATGATCAAGTTTAATTTGTAATTAGGCATGTTAAGAGATTAAAAATAACTAACAAAATAGAACAATTACAACAATATAATAAGTTATGCAAATGTGGTTTCTCACTGTCAAAGTACCTTGTACTCACCCTTGTGAAGCTGTGAAATGTCATACAATGCCTACATGAAGAGATGAAATGAGGTGACTGAGTAGGTATAACTGATGTAGTTAGGCTACATTATCATCAAAATAGTCAGCTTTGGGTGATCCTGGATCACTGGGCCAAGATAATGTCAACGGTTACATTAAGGAGCAGACAATGTTGATGGTTAGGGATCCTCAATAGTTAAAGGATTTCTATTTTTGGGTCTTTCTGCTGAAAATTTTTGCAAGAACATTGTAACCAGAAGTTGTTGACTCTTTTCAACTCATCGAAGTGTTGCTACAGAGACTGTAATCCTTTGGTGATCATATTGGTGACTTTAATGCTGTCTACCATTTGAGGATCATATTCGATAACTGTTCTTTAATGTGTCTGTGCAATTCAAAACACTTTGGCAAATTTTATTAATGTCTACGTTGGTGATTCTGCTTCAGTTTCTTCATCTTCCTCTCCCTCTGTAGATGACTCAACAAGTTCTTCCAATTCCTCATCCGTAACACTTCTTGATAGCCTTTGATATGCTCTTCTTCTTCATCAAGCATGTCAGCAAATCTTTCTTCACAAAACTTGTCTTGCTATGTGATTTAAATTTGCCACGGGCTCCCACGAAGCCTTTAAATCATTTATGATTTCATTCCACATTCTTTCAGCAGTCATTTAGCTGTTTCGGGTTTTAATTCATCCTCTGCAGCTTTGATGAATGTTATTGCATGAGCAATAGTGAATGATTTCCAACACTGCATTATATACATTATTAGGGTCTGCAGCAATTGCTGATAAAATGTGTTCAAGTAGTTGTATGTGGCCTTGACAAACCGAATGATGCCCTGGTCAGGGACTGAAGCAGTGAGGTTTTATCTGCAGGTAAAAATACCACCTCAACATTTCATTTTCATAGCAGACAGATTCAGGATGGATGGCCAGATGTACTGTCCATTATTAATACTTTAAATTCCAACCCTTTCTCTTCCAAGTATTTTTTCACTTCCGGGATGAAGCATTGGTGGAACCATTCCATAAATGAGATGGCTGTCACCCCGACTGATTATGTAACCAGGACACACAATTTTTTGTTTTATTTTCAAGAGCATGTAGGTTCTGCACTTTATGTACCACACCTCCTTATCTTATGCCCTGCAGCAATGCCATATAGTACCAGAGTTAATCTGTTTTTCCATGTTTTATGCCCTGATGCCACCTTTGCACTTTAATGAATGTAAGTTCCTATTGGGCATCTTCTTCCAGAAGGGCCCAATGTCACCACAATTAAGACTTGCTTTGAATGGTATCCTTTCTCCTTAATCAACTTCAACTCTGCTGGAAATGAGGCAGCAGATTATTTATCATCAGACACAGCCTCTTCAGTAATTCTTAAATACTTCAGTCCAAACCTATTCCTGAATCTATGTAACCATCCCTTATTTGCAGTAAATGGCTTGGTATCACTCATGTCAGGGGATCCCTTGCTAAATGTTTGTATAGGCCTTGTGCTTTTGGTGCAACACCCTGATGTCAGTTGGAACACATTCCTTTTTGTTCATGTCTTCCACCCACAAATTTAACCCATTTATGCCAGAGGTTGCAAAATTTTTTTGTGAAAAATCAGACCTTGGGGATGACCTTGAGCAGCAGAATATAACTCCCACAGGCTTAGCATTCCAATAATGGAACACTAGGCATAAATGGATTGATGTCTTTTTCATATTAAAACTGGCATGAATGCTTTTCCTTCACAATTTCACGAAGATGCATTCTTACCTTAGATCTTAGCAATCTCTGCATATGATTTTTTTCTCAAGTACTTTCACCTTTTCAGTTTATGACTTATCTTTGGCATATCCAATTGCCATCATCTCACCTGGGGGCCACTATACAATAAGGGTTACCTGAACACAAGCATTACAATACTGCAATAGTCGATAGGATAACTAAGATGATTACTAAGTGTCTAATGGGTAGGTAGCATATACAGCATGGATACGCTGGACAAAAGGATGACTCTTGTCCACGGTGGGACAATGAGAGTGTGAGATTTCATTACGCTATTCAGCATAGCATGCAACTTAACACAGACAAGGGGTGACTACTGCAATGTCTTGGAAAATGCTAGGCCCTCAAATAGTGAGTGACATGTTCATCCTCAACTCCAGGCCTTATTCTGCCTTCGTGTTGAAACGCTATTTTCTCTCACTTAGCCTTTATTCAAGCTAACCCATCCTTCAAGGTAAAACCTAACAAGTATTGCAGTCCAAATCAATCTCATTTCTCCAGAAATGCCGCTTCTTCACAGCAACTCATAGGCATTCAAAGCATGATTGTTGACTTTGAATAAACACTTAATACAACCACACAAAATTTTACATCTCAACCACTTTCAGAAAAATTAAAGCATGCAAAAAAAAAAAGAAAAAAAGTCCTTTAATTGACTTATGTCCCCTGAAAAAAGATATATCCAAGTCCTAACTCCCAAAAATATCTGTCATTGTAACCTTATTTGGAAACAGGTGCAAACCTTATTTGCACATATAATTAAATATTTGCAGATAAGCTCACCCTGCATTTAGAGTGGGCCCCAAATCCAATGACTGTTGTTCTATAAGAAAAGGAGAGGAAGATTTGAAATAGGGGAATGCCTCATAAAGAAGGAGGCAGAAATTGGACTGAAATGTCCAAGAATTACCAGCTGCAACCAGAGGCAATAATAGGCATGTAAGGAATTCTCCCTCAGAGTATCCAGAAGGAACCAACCTTGACACCAACTCAATTTTTTAGACTTCTAGCCTCTAGAACTCTAATAAACTGCTGTTGTTTTATGTCACGAAGTTTTTGCTAACTTA